GAGGCAGGGGAACATGGGATCCGTCTTCAGTACAAGTTTGGAAATCTCATTTGGTTGTCCGTAGCAATTTCTTTTTGTGAACAGTAAAAATGGATGACATCAATTTCGAACACCGGTGTGCTATCAGGTTTTGCATCAGACTTTCGCACAATGGAACGGAAACTACGATAAACTACAGGACGCCTACGGAGTGTTTTGTCAAGAGCCCAAGGTTTTCGGTGTTTTAAAGCATTTTTAGAAGTGAAAAAATCGATTAAAGTTGAACCACGAAGCAGGAGGTTCTCATATTTCAGAACCGATGAAAAGACCGGCAGGTTTCAGGTTCCGGGATCTTGTGCGTTCAGATCGTCAGAATGATCGGGAAAGAATTAAATTTGACAATAATGTTCTCTGTCACACAGCAATGTCAATAAACGAGTTTTTGGCCATTAAAAATGTGGCTCTTCACCCACTACTTAGCATGACTTGAGTCCTTGTGACTTTTTCTCTTCCCGAAGTAGAAAAATCACCTTAAGGGTGTCGAAAACAAATTCGAATTCTATATAAGCTACTGCTTTCACCAAGTTCTTCAAATGGATTTATCGTAATGAGACATCACAAAGTGCAATCTATTACCAAAATCGACCACAGCGAGAGTGAAACAGCAAGCTGTATGTTGGAACTGCATCCCGCCGGTTTGCATTTGACAGCCGGGTCGCCACCCTTCGTTAGTTGTTCTACCTGAGACCAAGCCTAGACCATGTTGATGAGTTGCCCAAAAGCACGAAACAGCTGTTAATAGTTATTCATCTGAGGTCGGAACATATAATGCCCTCCAAATCGACAGCATCTAAGCACCACAGTTTTTTTTATACTCCAACTACCACGAAGGCCTAAGGCCTAAGCACCCATTGGGTAGCGTGGAGGTATAGGGGGATACATGGGAAAGGGGGAACGCCACACGGACTCTGGCGAGGGAACACGTGTGCATGCACCATGCACACATTCTGGCTCCGCCTACGAGATCCGCCGGGTGGTACCTCCGCGTTCGACAGTCAGAGATCGTCCACCACCAACGGACAATCACAACATCCATAGCCAAGAGAAAATTTTCTCTTGGGACGGGATTCGGACCCGTACAGCGCACGGCGACTGATCAGGAGACCGAAGAGTCTACTGCTGCTGCCTGAGGATACAGTTTCGATAGACGGCTTGCTGTTTTACTCTTGTGGTTGTTGATTCTTGCAATACAAGAAACTTTGTGCTACCTTATGTCGATAGACTTTATATCCTGGATATCGGATAGTCGCTCAGCCTTTGTCCGTTGTCCTACCAGAAACCATGCTGATGAAAGTATATCATTTCTTTAAATGGAGTCCTACATATTTTATTGCACACTTGGATAGACCATTCTAAAAGAGGAAGATGGGCATGCCCATAAGCGCTAAACTATGATAGCCTGTTAGTCCACCATTTTTAAAGTTGTGAACTTTATACAACAAGGTTATAATACTCATAAGGAGAAAAATCCTGTATAATACGACCCTTCATTTCATTTAAAAAATTGAGGGGCCCCTAGCTCGTCATCTATAAACTTTCAACTGTAGCTTTTGCCCTAGAATATAGTACTCGTAATCAAATTCATCGTCCCGAGTTTCAACTTACTAACATGGCCAGTTCTATACCAGAGATTCTCAAACATACTAAGTCTATTGCGCTCTTTAAGAAATTTTTTTGCTAAGGTCCCCTAAATTACTTTAAAATTAGCATAACCCCTCCCCCTAATTTCTTTACCGCCTCCGTAGGTCCCCAGTGCCCACAATGGGGTTGTTATCTCCTTGAGAAAGGTATATCTATACAATTCGACAGTATTGGATTCACATTGATTTACTCATTGGCATTTCATGTGAACATCGCGCAGATGAATTTATTGTGCAAGTAATGGCCTATTATTATGATAAATGACTGGATGGGCAGATAGCAGACAGAGTTCAGGCTTTTGTTATTTTTCAGCTTTTTTATTTATTTTTAGCTCTATTTCTGTCGCAATTAAAAGAAAAATTGATAAATGGAGTAAATTACAAAACAGTGATGAGTCCAAAGATGAGTAGAAGCATGTTGTCTGGATGGTATATCATCACTCCTTGAATAAATACACATCAATCCAGGCATGGATTGAATCAACATTTATATTTATGTGAAGAACTAAATGATTGTTCTTATTTTTACAACTTCTTCAAATAATAGATAGTTGAAAAGCAGTGCACCGATTTGCTCATCCCTCAGACACGTCAGCATTGTTTTATTCTCGTTAAATATTTCTTCAAAATTCCCCAATTTAAAAATGTATAAATTAAAGCGATGTAGTCAATTCCAAAAACTGTCCTTTTGTTTTTCGATATACTGGGTTAAGTATCTGAATGTTTTTATACCGTGCGATTTTTGAACTTGCAATAAATAATACAAAATATTTGGAGATGATTCTCAAATTACATCTTTGACAGAAGAGAGGAGAAACATCAATGAACGTTGATACCTCAAAAAAAAGAGGATTTGTTAAGTGCCACTGTAAAATCTGTATTTGTACATCATTTTTGTATACTAAAATCACTACCAAATGTGACACCAAATTCTAAAGCATATGAAGGTCATAAAAATAACTAACCTATTTAGAAGGATAGATTATTCCTTATACTTATGTTTCTAAATTCTAAATTCCAACCTTTCAAGAGCGATTTTCGAAACGCATTCTAGAAATTCAAAGAATTGTGCGCAGCAATATAACAGAGAGGAATTGTGTAGGGGAAGAAAAAAAATGATGATCAAAAAGTTATATTATCATATCATAATATTGATGGGGGCTGATTTGGCAAGTTTAAGAAGCCTACATAGACGAAACGGAAGCCTCAAACTCAAATTTGTGGGAGAAATTTCTGACTCGTTTTTTTTCATAATCACGTTTTTGATAACCTTTAACATAAATTAAGAAGTTGCCGAACAGTAACACGCAGCAAATTTGTATAAACGATTATTTTTAAACTAATCACAAAGAATTGGTCATTTTACTCCGGACAAAGGTCTTTTAGGCTCGACTCGACACACCCTCGCGAATGCGTACTATTTGACAAACAACTTTGGAAATTCGAATAATAGTCTAATGATATCAGCAAAATTTCTCGAAATAATTGTAATGTTAATTTTTGTTGAAAAGTATGTTCAAAGGTAAAAGTGAGCATTCGGATTAATTTTCAGGACGGTCAGTTTGTCAGAACTATTTGTCTACTTTTTTCTGCTTTTTCGAGTTTGTTTTCCACCACTTTGAACCCCAGTGGTTTGATGTGTCGAAACTTGAGAAAAGCACGTATATGCACTGTATGTTATTGGAACAGAAAATTATGTTTTTTTAAAAAGAAAATGCACTACGTGTTCCACTAATTTGGCAAAGTCATGTAGCCATCAGCCTGAGAATATCTTAAACTCGTTTAAGACCATAATTGTGTCTTCAATTGCGAAGTTTTTAAACAATTGTGTGCGTTAAAGTACGAAATTATTTTTGAAGACTCAAAAGGATTTTAGCTAAACAAGAGGAAAAACGAAAATTTTGAGGAAAATAATTTTTCTTTGCAAAAAAAACTCACAGACACCTCACCTCACCTCAGACATTACCTTTGTTTTGAAACGTATATGTTCAATAAAGTATGTTTTTGAATATCGTCCAATTCCTCACAAATACCAATGTTCGATTTTATCTAAAGGAGAAAAAACATCTATTTGTTTCTCCCATAAAAATAACATTCAGCTTGCGAAATGGTTTTTGATTCATATCGAGGATATTGCTATAAAATGCCGTTTAATTGAATCTTATAGATTGATACAGATATTTTGGAATAAATACTTAGAGAATCTCAAAAACCACTAAACTCATCGACTCGTATTTTTTGTTGTAGTTATTTAGAAGTATGAGATCTCCGCACCTGAGGAACTTCAAGTGTAACGTATGTCCTGAAAGTTTTGGTACAAAATATTTATCGGATTTTTTTTAATGAAGAAATTTATTTAAACACTAACTAGTCATCATACATTACAACTCAATACATAACAAAACTAAACTATCGAATTATGTGGAGTGACCCATTCTGCTCTATCAGACGCAACTTTCTTCGAATATCTCTCATGAGGTCCTGGACGGAATTCTGATCAATTTCTTTCAGTTTTTCGTTAATTAACCGTCTTAATTGTTCTTCATCTTGAGCTTCCCTACCTTCATGATAAACCTTCCTAGACAGTAAAGCCCAAAAATCCTCTATTGGGCGAGCCTGCGACAAGTTTGAAGGATTATCTTCTTGGGAATAAAAAGTATGTTGTGTTGTCGAAACCAGTTTTGGGCATCTCTTGAATAAGGGCATGATGCTAGGTCTGGCCAAAACATGATATTAGTGGACAAGCTGAAGCAATTTTTTGTGTTTGTTAAAATTAATGCCAATGAATTTAGTGCCAAAACTCTTAGGACATACGTTATGCGTGACGCTATAGTTGCTCCAAAGTTCTTTTGTAATGTTCACTCATCAAAGCTCAAATTCATGAACTTGGACTACCAAATTTGGATATAGGGTATTAAATTACTACAGAGGACATTAGAAAACATCAGATGCAAACACATGAATGCAAAGTGATACATGATTTGCTGTTTTTTTCATAAATCTAGGCTTTCCATCCATGTTTTAACCTCGATTAAGAAAAGTGTAATATGTATAATTATAGTCCAACTTTATAAAAACAGTGTAAAAAGGCGAAGTGTCGCTAAAAACCGTTTTTCAACTAAATCTAACTTAATTATTGACATTATCTTTTGCTATGTATTACTATGTACTAATCCTGAATAACGGCTAATATGGAAGAAGTACCAGTAGAAGCATTTTTTATTAAGCCCTAGGCCAAAGTTATATACCTGCTGAGAACATAATATCATAGGCATTCAGTCGTATATGGGATCATTGATTATATGTATGTTATGGACTCACCCTTGATTAAAAGTTATCCATATTCAAGCTACACACCACCCCACAAGCTCTAAAAATCCAAATAAAGCAAACTTATTCTGTACCGACTCGTCAAAGACTACATTTTGAAATGTATGTATGTATAGTAATCGCGTGTCATGTGGGTGAAGTCAGTGGTGCGTGCAGAGCGTCTAACCTAACCAACCCCATACGAAACCCCATGGCAGGACCGGAAACGGGCGGTACGGTAATGAATACGTAATGACCTCCACCGTCTATGGGGATGTCGTGAGACTCGTTTAGGATTCGGATACAGAGCAAGACAGTTCTAATTGTAACATATTTTGGTGACGATCAACGAATTCCAGTGAGACGATAAAAATTTTGAGGTCTGGTTGCCGAGTTACAGCACTTGATACACTGAATCCATTAATAGTCCAGTCCCTACGGGTATGCAATTGAAATAAAAATAAATGCCATTTTCTGTACTGAAGTTAGCGTCCTTAACAAGCTCCATTATCAACTAAATATACTCAGTGACGTTAAAGGTGTTACCCCTGTTAAAATCTTATCTCTTAGTTTTTGTGAAGAGAGCAGTTTATGAGAGCTGAGTAGTACAGACATTTTTAGTTATTGCCATGTTAGAAACTTTGACAGGGGTAGAATTATTGTCTAGCGAGATGTTGGTTTGTCCTATTGCTAAATTGGCTGCCGTGTTAATTGTACTGCAAGGACGCCAATGCGCGTGTGTCGTGTGTGGATAGAAGAAGATAATGGAACACGAAGAAGGCCAACTGGTCCGAAGGGGGGTACCACAAAGCAGGATAGATGCTTCAGACAACTATAGTGTATTTACACCCAAGATAGAATGGATGCGTGATTGCCAAAAGCAAGGACGGCGTACAGGGCCGCATTCAGGCCTACCTCCGAATGATGGACTACCACCAACGTGTTGTAAAACAAAGATGACAGCATTTATCGAAATTATCTAATATAGTGAAGTAGTTATAGTTAAGGGTGTCGCAAAATCAAATTTTTATTCTTGAAGGGGTGCTAAGTTTTTCTACAGATTTTTCAAATTAGACAACATGGAGAAATATATACCAGAGATAACCAGCTGCTCACTATGCACAATGAATCCGTAGTCAACGAGGGGTAGAGGTGACATTTTCGTACATGGAGTAAATATAAGGCTGTTCAATCAATTGAAAATAGATTTTGAAGGTGCACTTCGGACTTGCATTGTCTGTAGTTTATCTGTAAGTTAATATTTCACTATAACTAGGATTCCCATAATATGTATTCTGTGGCAAAACAAAAACGCGAAACTTACTCAGACTCACTTGAAGAGCTATCGTCATTAATGTTTATGATGATGGATTCAAAATCTCTCTCAATTATGTTGTCCAGCTCCCACAATGCTACCTCCACGTTCTCCTGAACATGCTGCACACATTTTTGCCATATTTCTGGTGTGACCCTCTGTATAGCAATTCTGAGCAGCTCTTGCATGTCAGAAAATTTAAATGTTGTATTGTGTGCAGCAACAAAATTCTTAACATTTGCCCATATGAGCTCAATGGGGTTAAGCTCACAGTAGTAAGGCGGCAAACGGAGTACTGTTTTATGGTGTGCTTTGGCCATTTCATCTATGACATATTTATCATGTCTTGGTCTGTGTTGTTTCACAATATCTAATAGTTGTAATTTCAGTAAGGAAGGGTCGAAAGTTATATTTTTGGAACGGAGCCAGCTCTGAATGTCTGATTTCCTAGAAGCTGAAGTTGTGATTTTTTCTATTTTGCGAGAATGATAGGGAACATTATCCAAAACAACCACAGAATTGTCTTCGAGACATGGTAAAATGCCTGAAAACCACTTCTCGAATGCTTCCCCATTCATCTCTTCATGGTAGTCAGTGTTTTTTTTACTCAAAAGACCATAAGCCGTCATCCACGAAGCCATCTACACCCCCAATGTGGCAAATAATGAGCCTTTTTCCTTTGCCTAGGAAGATAAAATCCGCTATCTGCTATCCGAAGATAGAGATATATTGTGCGCAAAAATTGATACCGTGAACTACTTCGATCTAATTACCTGCTGGATTTTTCAATCCGGTCGACAGTCCATCTAGAAATGTCTTTCTGGATGAAGTCACAGTTTTGTCAACCCATACCTTCGGAGTAGTGTGCCCAGAGTTAATCCAGGTTTCGTCCAGGTAATAGATCTTCCTGTGCTGATCCCTGAATGATTTAATTTTGGTCAGGTACTCTCTCCTCCACAGAACAATTTCTTCTCTATCCATAAGTAAGCTGTAAAAGTTTATCAATAGTCGAACGTTTGAAATTTGGTAACATAGCATCCTCGTTAACCTCCCGTAGTACTTTATCAACTATCTGTATTTCGTTTCTGAAGAATAACTCGTGCACTTTTCTCTGAATCGCATGCTTGTCAGCGTCATCCAACGATCTTATGATACTTTTGCGATTTTTACCCGTCATTGGCTCGGAAAAGGAATGCTTTTTCTTATGTTCGTTCAAAACATTGTACACTGTCGCTTGGCATACCCCAGTTTTATCTGCCACTTTCAGAGCTATTTTCGGGTTAGTTGTTGTTTCGTCTTCCTTCCGCTCTATCTTGAATGTGTTCAATATGACGTCTTTCATGTCTACGCTAAATGTCTTTTTTTATCGCTTTCTAGGAGGGCTAAGGGAGTAGCCTACAGCCTCGTCAGCAGTATCTGTACTGGACATGTTCAGGATTGGTTCTAAACAAATAATAACGAGGAATAACAATAACAAACAGAAACTTAACAAATTACTCAAATAAACTTAACAACAACAACAGCAACAACCAAGCAAGGTGAATACGAAAACACGAGCACGTAGTGATACACGCGACGGTCGGTGGCCTGAATGCAACTCTGCCTGCCCTGCCCCTGCCCCGCGCATTATTCTGCCAGGCGACCGCTTGAAATTTAATGGCGAATTGACCAATAAGAGGCGTTGTCCCCACCTGTTACCGAGAGATCACGCGCTAACTGTTATTATTTACATCTCATCTTGAATTTGGATTCAGTTTAGCCCTACGAGACCGTTTTGCTACTATGCGTCAGATCGCCAACCAATGAGTTGGAGAATAAGGTAGACCTGTTACTATGCATACACTCTATCATCTCATTGAAGCCTTTGGACTTTTTTCATACCGGCAACTTTGGTAGGCAGAATGGCATAATGTAATCTTCAGCGACGAATCGCAATTTTGTGTAGGTACGCACAAGGTCGTAGAAGGGTCAGACATTATTGGATTTGCTGTTGAGAGGTATGTACACAGAATTGTTGGAGTAATGGTTTGGGGGGCTATTGCCTATGGTAGCCAATTACCCTTTCTCTTTGTTCAAGGCAATATGACTGCTGCGCGATATGTTGATGATGTCCTACAAACCACTTTACCGCCATATCTAGAGGGCCGTCCACACGTCCTTTTTCAACAAGACAACGCACGTCTCCATATTGCTCGCCATACTACAAACTTTCTTCAAAATGCAGGCGTTAATGTTTTCCCGTGGCCACCCCGTTCACCGAATTTAAATCCCATCGAACATGTGTGGGATATTATAGGGAGGAGACTATCAACTTTGCACCATCCGCCACAGACTCTGCCACAGCTAATCCACAAAGATCGAGTTGCCTGGAATAAGGTGCCACAACCAGACATCGATTATCCCATTTTGTCGATGCCTAGATATATACAGGAGTGTATTCAGCTGCGGGGTCGCCCAACACATAATTATTTTTTTTCTTATTACTTGTCAATAAAATTTCGTGATAATGTTATCGTTTCATTCTTGATGTAAGACTACCCCTTTGCCAAGAAATCAAGTTGAAGAAGTTATTTTTTCTGGATGTAACTCTTCTAATGTCACCGAGTATATTAAATTATGTTTCTACAATCTACACGAAGATAACGTGATCAATCAAACAGCGTTTCTCTAAAATTTTTGTCACTGGTAATGAATATTTTAATTGTTCTAAGTAACTAAATTATTCGGTGCAATCGAACTGAATTTTCTGAAACCAGCTCAATACGAGGCGAGTAGAAGCGGCGATCGAGTGCTTATGTTTGTGTTGGTGCGGACTAAATAATGTTCGAATAAGCTTTAGAAAGTATAAACAGTAGTAGTATAGTAAGTATAGTTCACTTGAATTTATGAACCTAGTTTAATTAAACCATAGCGCTATTGCTTAACTAAATTTATTCAATTGTTTACTTAGATTGGGTACAGCAATTAAGTTAACATTAATGAGCTGTTAAAATAAGTTTTCCTGCTCCAAGTAAAACAATTTAATTATAATTATTAAATTTGCTTAATTAGTTCACGTAAAACTATGGTATTTGTCTAGTTTTAATGAATTATTTTATGTAGATCTAAGAGGATATATGGATAGTATTCCGAATGTAAAGGAACAAATTTATATAATGATTATTATAACTACTCTGACAAATCTTAGGTAGAAAAAAAATTTTGAAAGCTTGGTATTGATGGTTGTCTTAGAATCAAAATCCTGAATGTTGTAACTCTAACAAAATTCTACATATTTATTTTCAATAATTGTTAACTTATTGTATATCAAGTTTTATCAATCAATTATCTGATTATCCAGAAATAAGGTTTCAATATACATACCACAATTCACTAGGAGCAATTCTTTATTTTAAATTCAAAAAGTAGGGAAAGAAATGTCTGAAACTGAATAAGACCGCTTATGATGATGTGTACAAAAATTGTACTCTTATTTCTAACAATAAAACAATATTGCACTCACCCGCATTCACATACGAGTATATAAGCAAATTCGACATCACGTTAAACAAAACTAGGATATTTTCATGTACTACAAAGTCTGCACCAATAGGAGGATTCTCATCCTATACACACAATATAAAAGAAAAGCACATCAAGCCTATATTAAGCACCAGTTTTGGTATGAATGCACTTTATTGGTACGACTTCATAAATCAAATTACAAAGTTCGTCCGATTCGGCCACATTAGCAGTGATTCCTCTATACACATTGATTCATTGGGAGCAAGAAGTATTCTAACCATGTTTATGAGTCACTAAGTGCCTTATGCTCGAGTATTTCACTTGATCATATGAACCTCCTCGCGAAAA